TGTGTGTGTGTGTGTGTGTGTGTGTGTGTGTGTGTGTGTGTGTGTGTTGTTTTCCCCTCTGTATATGAATATTGCTTTAGTTAGGCCCATTTGGTTTTAAGAAACAGAGACTCAGGAAAGCTAACTCAAGTTAAGAGATGATTGTGGCATAGATATATTTGAGGCAATAGAGTAGACAAAAATTTTATAGTATTCTAGTCTGAGCGGAGTGGAATGATTGAGTATGTTATTTGGACTCGTCCTTTGTAGTGTAAAGTATATATAGAGTGTAGTGTTGGCTAACAAGAATGTTGAAAGTGGTTGCTCCTTACAAAAAATAGAGGAATATTTGAGTCCTCTAATCTTTCACGGTAGTCTTCCGATAAAAAATAATTTTTTCTCATCTCAAAACAAGGTAGAAATAAACTTAAAAATAATTTGTTAGAAAACATAGTAATGGAGATGGGGTACTGGTTAGGATACTGGGTAACAATTCAGGCAACAGATGAAGATGGTATGAATTTAGTGTGGATGGAGAAGAGAAGAGTAATTTGGGAGAGATTTAAGGGACAGAATTTATAGTACATGGTGACTGATAACCAGGATGGGGGTTGGGGATGCATGGGAAAACGTAAAAACTTAGGCTTATGGCTTATCCTACAGAATGAATAGACTATTATGAGAATAGGGAGGAAGTAAGAAGAATTTGGGGGTAAAATAAGATTAAGTCAAGTTTCAGGTTGATATGAGACATCAGTACTCTGAAAGATTATATACATAGCTGCATACCTATATTCATAAATTCATTCCTAGGACTTTTAGGAGCAGACACACATTTGTGAGCTATCAGCAAAAAACCAAGTATGTGAATAAGATTTCCCAAGGACTCTGGCAGGCAGGAAGAGAGCGCTGAGAATAATGGACTCTTGCTGATTCCATTATCTCACAAAAGAAGGCAATGACAGAGGAAACTCAGAAGGAGCTACTATAGCAATGGGAGGACATCAGGAGATGAAAACCAAGGAGAGAAAAATCTTCAAGGAAGAGAGAATTATAGATCATTTTAGATGCTACAGTGAAGCCAAATAAGATAAAGACTGAAATTTTCCCATTGAATTTGGCAATCGAGAGTTCACTGATAACTGGGGAGGGAGGTTTTCTTGGAGTATTAGGTACAGAGACAGAAGAGAGCTGAAAAACTGGAAGCAGCAATTATGGACAATTCTCCCCAGAAGAAGCATGACCATAAAGGATAGGATTAGAAGAAGGTGCCGTATCTAGAAGAGATCATGGGGTTGAGGGAGGATTCAGAAAACTTAAGAATATGTAAATGTTGATAAGAATGATCCCATGCTTTACCTGTATTATTGCATTTGTAACATTTTATCAAAATCTTAGCTTCAGTTCTCTAAAAATATTACATGACATTTTATCAATGGCTCTACTGAGGAAATTTGTCTTAGACTTTATTTTTCAGGGAAAATTTCTGAGAATGCTGAATAATTATCACCATAAAATTTTATACCTATTGCTTTCTCATTAGATTTTTCTCAGGCAGTATAGTACAACCCTTTTACCATTGGTAATTCTTGTTGTATAGATATATTTGTAAGATAGTTGGTCAGTGACCTTAAAATGTATTTATATGGAGTAAAAGCCTCACAAAACATAGTCCTACCTGCAATTTTTGCCACAAGTTCCCCAAAGATCCCATCTAGACAGCTACATGTGATATCCTCGATCACCCCTACCTCTTTATCTATCCAGTCCTCCCACTGCATCAAGCTCCGGCATGTTCCTTGTCTGTAAAGACTTCCCATGCTTCTCAAGCCATGGTGTCTCTCCCCTCTGTTTGTAGAGCACTTATTTATTGACAACTCATTTATTTGGCAATCAATCCTAGTTTGCCTTATGGTAACTTGTATCACATTTATAGCTGTTCATATGTTTCTGTCTTTTGTACCTCAACTAGATTGGAAACCCCCTTAGAGCCAATCCTGTTGTCTTTTTAACCTCTAGTTCAGTTCTTTGAATACCACAGTGTTTTTGATAGAGTAGGTTAGGAGAGTACAGGAAGTTGGGAAATGATTGGTTATGAAGGATTTCCACTCTATGTACAGCAATAAAATCTCTTTATGATTTTAGGAAGCAAAAGAAGAACCAGAAACAATAGATGAGCATAGAAAAGAATGTGCTGCAGGAGGTAAGGAATGTTCTCTTCCAACTCCCATGTGAACTTTTGTTCCTGCTTATATTTTTATGGGTGAAATCTTTCTGAGTAAAGATATGGTACCTATAATTATGCATCTTTAGCTAAAATCAGCCAATAAAACTGATTCTTGATTCAATTTGTATCATTTTTGAAAAGCCACATTTATGTTGCATTAACTATTAAGCCCCAAAGGACTTGTAATAACTACTACGTTATTGTGAACAAAGAACCATGTCAATGTTGGTAGTAAATTCAAGCTCTACTTTGAGATCTTTTTTTATTATCCTGTCCAAAAGTAAATAAGATAGTATTTAAAGAATAAGTGCTAATATACTTCCCTCCCCATTTCACCTCCAGTAGGATGGAGTAATGGATAGAGTTGAGACTTTGAAGTCACACAGACTATATTGGGTGACTTTCTGACCAGCTTTGACTTCAGAAGTTTATTTAACCTGAGTGTCAACTTCCTCATCTGCAAAATGGAAATGAGTTAAAAAAATTAACCTTTATTGAGAATATATCATATGCTAAATTCTAGACTAGGTCCTTTTTTTTTTTTTTAAGATTTATTCATTTGACACACAGAGGGAACACAAGCAGGGGGAGTGGGAGAGGGAGAAGCAGGCTCTCCGCTGAGCAGGGAGCCCAATGTGGGGCTCGATCCCAGGACCCTGGGATCATGACCAGAGCTGAAGGCAGACACTTAACTTACTGAGCCACCCAGGCGCTCTGAAGCAAATGCTATTATTAACTGGCTATTATTTCAGACATACTTCAATGAAATGCCTTTGTGTAGTGGAGAGAGGGCATTTGATCAAATGTGCCTTCAGCTGGGAACCTTTGTAACCCAATACTATTTTATTGTCTTTTAATAGACACTGCTCTTTCCTCTCGTCCTGTAACCACTGTGAAATCCGTTAACTTTAGACAAAGTGACAAGTAAGTTCTTCTTCACATGGCATGCTCACAGTTCTTGCTCTTCTGCTGAATTATGTTGGAATAATTTTTTTTTTGTCTTATCCTACAGCACTTCTGCTAATGAGAAGGAGGTGGAGGTGAGTTTTTTTCCCTTTAAGTTAAAAAAAAGTGTTTCTGATTCCCTTGTCTATCTATCATCAGTTCATACTTTTATACAAGCTGTGGGTATGTTTGGTGTCTGGCTGGCTTGGCAGCAACTAAGTACAGGTAAAGCCGATGCATGCCAGCATTATGTTGCTGGGAGGAAAAAGAAATGGCTCAGCGTAATTTGGTATTAAGCTGAAATATTTCACTACAACCAATTTTCTCCCTCTCACCCGTACATTATTTTGACAACAGGCTGAATTTCTCAGATTATCTTTGGGATTTAAGTGTGACTGGTTCACCTTGGAGAAAAGAGTGAAGCTTGAAGAAAGATCACGAGACTTGGCAGAAGAAAATTTGAAGAAAGAAATCACTAACTGTTTAAAGCTGTTAGAGGTGAGAATTCTAACAGTTGGGAACTACACATTTGATGATCATATTGTTAATAATGTTTTCAAGATTAGATACAAGTTTACTTGTGTGACTAAAACCAACACCAGGTACCAAGCCCTGCCTGACTCAAACGTAAATTAATAGGAAGTAAGAATTCAGAATCAGGCTAAAATAAAAAATTCACTAATAAAACAAATGCCTTTTGAAGTCATTGTGAGTCACCTGCCTTCTCTGGACATTCAAATAGGTTTCAGGCAGAAGAGTCATCATGCAGGAAACTGAGCAATAGGAAAGAATATCAATTGTAAGCTTCAAAGAAGAGAATCAAAAGTCTATTTCCATTTGATTAACTGAAAAAAGAGAATGGTGATTGATTTTAGTCTTCTCAGGTGATGGGCAAGCCCTCTCTAGGTACATAGGTAACAACTACTGTTTTTCCATTTTGTGAAATCTCCATATAAATATAGAGATGGGTTGGAAAGTTAAGAGGGTTATTTTTGGAAAAAAAATAAAACTTGAGAAACCATATTCTTTTTTTTTATTGTCAAAAAACACATAACATCAAATTTACCATATTAACCATCTTAAGTGTACAGTTCAGTAGTGTTAAGTATGTTCACATTGTTGTAAAACAGATCTCTGGGACTTTTCCATCTTGCATATTGAAACTCTGTAGCCATTAAACAAGCCCCCTTTTCTCCTCCTCTCGGCCCCCAGTCACCATTTTACTTTCTATTTCTATGAATCTGACTACTTCAGATACCTCATATAAGTAAAATCATACAGCATTTGTCTGCATTGAGCAATCTCACGACCCTGAGATCACGACCTAAGCCGAAACCAATAGTCAGATGCTTAACTGACTGTGACACCTAGAAACCCCTACTTTCCCTTTTTTAAATGACATACAAAATTTATGGTGTTTTAGACTTGGGCAAGTCTTAGAAATTTGCTCATGGTCACACAGTTAATAAGCAGTGGCTTGTTTGCTTCCAAAACTGCTGTCCTCTTAATTCTGTCTCTACCCTAGTGGGATGGATGGTTCTCCATCAGGAAGGCCATCATCGTGGATCAAAGACACAGGTTTCAAAGAAATATTCATAAGGCTGTGAAGGCATACCCATCTAGCCAGCTCAGTAATGCTTTGTCATCAATGGAAGAGCAAGTAGCATAGTCAGAGCCATATCTAAATCTTGTATGTTTTCACGACTTTTATTAAAAGTTCAAACTGGGGTGCCTGGGTGGCTTAGTCAGTTGAGCATCTGCCTGTGGCTCAGGTCATGATCTCAGGGTCTTGGGATCGAGCCCCACGTCGGGCTCTCAGCTCAGCTGGTAGTCAGCTTCTTCCTCTCTCTCTCCCTCTGTGCTCTCTCTCTCTCAAATAAATAAATAAAATCTTAAAAAAAGTTCAAACCATGCCCCTCATATAATACATTCAACTCATTCACAAGCATAATTTCTTTACCATTAAGTATATCCCATTCTCTTAATTGTGGAAAGTGATATAAATGTGTATGAAGAAATGGCAAATTCGGGAAGTAAGGAAGGAAGAGATTGAGATTAGATATAAAAGGTTTTGTGAATATTCTCATAGGTCTGATAGCCAACAAAGATATTAATATTCCATTATCATTCATTATTGGTCTTTGTTGCTGCTTTTCACTTTATACCAAGATAACTGAGATGTGACTGTCATCTGTATTTACAACATAGTCATTGTTAGAATCACTTGCTGAATACTTGGGTTGGATATATTTTAATACTTTGCTTTCTGTGCAGTCTTTAACACCACTTTGTGAGGATGACAACCATGCCCAGGAAATTGTTAAGAAGCTGGAGAAGAATATAACATTTCTTAGTCAGTGCACTGCACGAGTGGCCAGTAGGGCTGAGATGCTGGGAGCCATTAATCAGGTAATCTGTCTCCATTTCTTTAGCTAAATGAAATTACTAAAAGGATTTATTTTCCCTGAGATTATGGATTACATTTCTAAGAAAAAGTTAAAAAAAAAAACCTCTGTGTTATATAAGACATACGTGTTTAATATAGAGAAAATGGAATATGCAAATAAAAATATAAAAAAAAACCCTCTTAATAGCATTAGCCAGTGACAATCATCCAAATAATCTCTTCCAAATATCAGTTTCATATTTTCTCCTTTCTCTTCAAACCATCATCATGTCCTTTCCCATCTTCTCTGTCAAATAATGACTGCTTCCTGCCTCAGTGAGAACATTGAGTCATTCAGAAGGGAACTGCCACAAGTTCCAAACCTAGTAACATCTGAACCCTCATACTTTTCCTTCCTTCCCAGTATAAAATATGAGTTGTCTCTAATCCTATCTAAGGCTAACCATCTCCCCTGCATACCAGAACCCATTCCTCCTAATTTACTTAGAATCTTGCACTCAGATTCTCCCTACTTTCCTCCATCTTGAATCTTCCCTGCTACATTAAATCATTTTCATGAGTACACAAATATGTTGTTTTTAAGATGGGAAAAATAAACACAAGCAAAATAATCTTTGACCCTTTCTCCTCTTTCTCTGCTCTCATTTATAGCAAATATCCTCACAGAATTGTACTCACTGTCTCCAATTTCTCTCCTCCCATTTGCTCTGAAATCTACTCTAAATGGCCTTAACCCACTCATTTTCCTTAGCTGACCTGCTACATTCAGCATATCTGAGCTCTTCCTCCTCCTGAAAACACTCTCCTCCCCTGGCTTCCAGGTACCACATTCTCCTGTTTCTTCTCTTAACATCATGGGTCATTCCTTTCCAGGCTCCTTTATGGGTCCCACCATTCTCTTTGGCTTCATAATATCAATGGGCCCCAGGGCTCGACCCTTGTGCATGTGATGTCCATCTTCCTTCAATCCCCATACCATTCTGTGTGGTCAGTTGATGACTCCCAAATTCACATGCTTATCCTAAACCTTTGCCATGAGTTCCAGACTAGAATATACTACTATGGATGCAGCATTTCCATTTGGATGTTTGACAAACAACTTAAACAACACATACAAAAATGAACTGCTTATGGTATCTCCAAAACCTATTCCACACATGATCTTATCTCTGTCAAAGCCGATCAGATTGAAAATCCTTGGGAGTAATTCTCAACAATTTTCTCTCACACTTTACCTCTAATCCTACAGAAAATTGTAATTACTCTACCATCAGAATAAATACTATTTACTCTACCATCAGAATTCAACCATTTATTTCCTTCTCCACTGCTACCACCTTGAGCTAAGCTACCATTCTGGTTTTTTGCAGATTAATACAATATCTTCCCACATGGTCTCCCTGTTTCCATTTAAACTCAGTAGTCCTGCAACATAGTCTGTTCTCCATAAAGCAGCCAGAATAATCCTTCTAAAATGTAAGCTAGATCATGTTTCTTTTTGGTTCAAAGTCCTCCAGTGGCTCCTCACTTTTTTCAGAATAAAACCCCAAATCCTTATGATGGCTTAAAAAGATTTACATGATTCCGCTGCCCTCTTAACTTATGAAATTTATTTCCTATGATAATCTTCCTGAATTATTGCATTCCAGCCAGACTGGTCTCCTGTCTGTTCATGAAACATGGGAGTAAACATGTAGTTTGTTTAGAATGTGTTCAAACTTAAATGACCATCAACTTAATATAGACTCCTATGTACTTACGATGTTATGTATGAATTTCATGGTAACCATAAAAACCTATAATAGATACACAGAAAATAAAGACAAAGGAATCATAACACTAAAGAAAGTCATCAATCACAAGGAAGAGAGCAAGAGAAGGAGAAAGGACAGAAGAACTACAAAACAACCAGAAAACAATGAACAAAATAACAATAAGTACATATGTAGCAATAATTACTTTAAATGCAAATGGTCTAAATGCTTTAATCAAAAGACTTAGGATGACTGAATGAATAAAAAAAACAATATCCATCTATATGCTGCCTACAGGAGACATGCTTTAGAGCTAAAGACAGACTGAAAGTGAAGGGATGAAAAAAAAAATTTCATGCAAATAGAAATGAAAAAAGCTGCGGTAGCAATAATATATATCAGACAAAATAGACCTTTTTTTTTCAGACAAAATAGACTTTTAAACCAGAACTGTAACAAGAGACAAAGAAGGGCATTACATAATGATAATGGGATCAATCCAACAAGAGAATCTATAAAATTGTAAATATTTATGCACCCAACATAGAAGCATCTAAATACATAAAGCAAATATTAACAGACATAAAGGGAGAAATTGACAGTAATGCAACAATAGTAGGGCACTTTAATACCCCACTTACATCAACAGATATATCAACCAGTCAGAAAATCAATAAGGAAACAGTGGCTTTGAATGAGACATTAGATCAGGACTTAACAGACATAAATAGAACATTTATTTTTCTAACAGAATGCACATTCTTTTCAAGTGAACATTCTCTAGGTTAGATCATATGTTAGGCCAAAAAATAAATCTCAATAAATTTAATAAGATTGAAATCATATCAAACATCTTTTCTGATCACAACAGTGTGAAACCAGAAATCAATTACAAGAAAAAATTTGAAAAGATAGAAACACTTGGGAGGCTAAACAATATGCTATTGACCAATGGGCAAAGAAATCAAAGAGGACGTTATAAAGACATGAAAATGAAAATGCAAAGGTGTAAAATCTTTGGGATGCAGAAAAATCAGGTCTAAGAGGGAATTTTATAGTTTATACAAGCCTACTTCAAGAACCGAGAAAAATCTCAGAAAATCTAATCTTATACCTAAAGGAACTAGAAAAACAAAGCCCAAGGTGAGTAGAAGGAAGGAAACAATAAAGATCAGAGTAGAGATAAATGAAATAGAGACAAATCATATATATATATATAGACACAAATTTATATATATAAATAGACACAAATATATATATAAAATGATGAAACCAAGAGATGTTTCTTTGAAAAGATACGGAGAATTGGTAAGCCTTTAGCTAGACTCATTAAGATAAAAAGAGAGGCTCAAAATCAGGGGAAAGAAGAAATAACAACTGACATCACAAAAATACAAAGGATTATAAGAAACTATTATAAAATATTATATACCAACAAATTGGACAACATAGGAGAAATGGATAAATTCCTAGAAACATAAATCTTCCAAAATTGAATCAGGAAGATGTAGAAAATCTGAACAGAAGCATGTAATGAAATTGAATCAGTGAAGGAAACAATTAACAAATGTAAAAGGTAACCTTTGGAATGGGAAAAGATATTTGCAAATGACATATCTGATAAAGGGTTAGTATCCAAAATCTATAAAGAACTTATCAAACTCAATACCCAGAAAACAATCCAGGTAAGAAATGGGCAGAAGACATGAATAGACACTTTTCCAAAGAAGACATCCAGATGGCTAACAGACAGAAGATGCTCAACATCACCAATCATCAGGGAAATAAACATCAAAACTACAATGAGAGACCTCCTCACACCTGTCCAAATGGGTAAAATTAACACAGGAAACAACAGACGTTGGGGAGGATATGGAGAAAGGGGAATCTTTTATACTGTTGGTGGTAATGCAAACTGGTGCATCCACCAAGTGGATGGAGCTAGAGGGTATTATGCTAAGCAAAATAAGATAATCAGAGAAAGGCAAATACCATATGATTTCACTCATCTGTGGATTTTAAGAAGCAAAACAGATGAACATAGGGAATAGAAAAAAAGAGGGGGGGCAAACCATTAAGGAGACTCTCAACTATAGAGAACAAACAGGGTTGCTGGAGGGTAGGTGGGGGATGGACAAAATGGGTGATGTGTATTAAGGAGGGCACTTGTGATGAACACTGGGTGTCATATGCTAAGTGATGAATCACCAAATTCTCCTGAAACCAGTATTACACTATATGTTAACTGAAATTTGAGTTTATTTTCATGTACTGTTTTAGACCCTGAATGGATATAAGCTGGCAAATTATGTTCTTGAGTTCTAGAGATTTTTTGAATTATTTCCTTTTCCACATTTTGTGGAATTTTCTATGCTTTCTTGAGTTCCTGTTTTTTTTGTCTGTTGGATCTCCTGAACAGGTCCTTTTTCATCTCTTTTCTGCCTTTCAATTTTTTTGCTCTAGTTTCAGGGAGATTTCCTCAACCTTACCTCGAAACTATTATATTGAGTTATGTATTTTTGTCATATTTTTAATTCCTAGATTCTTTTTATTCTTAGCATGTAGCTTTCTTTATCTTGTTCTTATTTCATGGATGTAATACTTATTAACTCTGAAGATATTGCTATTTCCCTTGAAGCTTTTCTGTAGTTGATCTCCTCCAGCTTGCGTTTTTTCTGTGTTGATTTTCCTTTCATGGTAGAGGCTTTCCTCTGACTAGTGATGACCCGCTATATAGCTGAATGGGAGCTGTATGTAGGGTGGGGAGGGTTCTCATTGGCTCTGAGCTTCACACAAACTGGGATGTTTCACTGGGATATTCTTGATGTCAGTAGTTTTAAGACTTTTATCTTGCTACGTTAGATTCCTCAGAGGAAAATCTTCCAATTGCCTGCTTTGTGAGTATAAGCCTGGCTACCTGTGTTTGCAAGTTGGAAGAAGAAATCAGGCTAGGAATCTCAGTATTCAATATGTATACAGACTTTTGCCTAAACCTATTCTTTTCTCTATGATCCATTCACCATCAACTCTTACTGTGCGATCCACAGGCTCTCTGTTTCTCTCTCTCTAGATATCCAACATTTATAGTCTTTCAGCAAAGTGGTGAAGGAAAGTTGCTCAGTTGGTCTGAATAAGGGAGGAGATCTGCAGATCTAATCACTTTTTCTGCAGGTTTTCAACCATTTCTTCTGTTCACATATCTACCTTCACACTTAATTCCAGAGGCACCACTAATTCCTGAGCCTATATGGCTTTCTGTGATGCAGCCCAGGTTGCTTGTAGGCTTTTCCTAGTTTTTCTTAGGGCTCAGGTTTTTCAGGTCTTAGTCATTCACCACTAGTCCTACTACTAGCAGGCTTTCAAAATTTCATTATACCCTCTTCTATTTGTTCTGTGTCTTTTAAAACAAACAAAACCACTTCATTGTAATTTTAGTGAGATTTGGTGATGGAGTGAAGATAGATGTATGTGTCTAATAATTTTTTAACTGGATATCAAGAATAATATTTTCAATGTAAATTTACTCTCTTTTTTCTACTAGGAAAGCCGAGTTAGTAAAGCAGTTGAAGTGATGATTCAGCATGTAGAAAACCTGAAGAGAATGTATGCCAAAGAGCATGCTGAATTAGAAGAACTGAAACAGGTTCTTCTGCAAAATGAAAGGTCTTTTAACCCTCTTGAAGATGAAGGTAATAAAAGTTTAATGGTATCAGTTATGTTTTTCTAAGACTCTCCTCTTTCATTCTTTCTTACTAATTCTTATGTCTTTAGTATAAAACTCTTAGGTTAAGGTTATGTTAGAATAATAATTCATTCCTGTTATTTATATAGCCCCAAGTAAAATGTAAGTTAGAAAACAGGTTGGGACACAAGGAGGATTCTTTGGTAATGACACCAAAAATTCATTAAATTAATTTAGATTGCTGAGATGAGAGAATATATTTCTTTTTTTTTTTTTTGAGAATATATTTCATCCAACCCACTGAGTTGACTCTAATGTTCTCCTACTTAGGGTATGTTAGAATTGGCTCTTTCTCCACACACAAAGCAAAGCACAATAAATTAAATGAGCCACTCTCATCAACAATGGTTTTCTATTTCTTGAAGAAGGAATGACTCTGGCATAGTAAGCTGGCAGACAGATTGGAAAATAAGGACACATCTCAGGCCATGGGAAATACCTTAAAATATAAGGTTTATATAAGTCTTGTAATAGTTTTATTTTAAATAATATGAACTTTTCTGAGCAGAGTTATTTTAATGATCTCTTCCCTTTTCTAGGAAAAGTAATCATATTTGATAACCTTCTGATCTATAGTTTTGGATTCATTTATTCAGCCTATATCCATGTAGCATCTCCTATGTGCTGGGTAAGCATTGTGGGCATATATAGTGACATAGAGGACAGTATTCAGATGGTAATTGTTATGAGTCACCAAATGATAACCAGATATCTTTACTGTTCAGTAGTCTCTAGGGTCTTAAATATTTCTGACTATTGCTTTTCTTTGTTAAGAAATAAGACCATTGCAATAAATTGCTTATGTAATTCCTCAAATGTGCCAATGTGTTTTTCCTTTCAGATGACTGCCAAATTAAAAAACGTTCATCTTCCCTAAACTCCAAGGTAATTACTAGTTGACTTAACAGTCTATCAAATGTTATGGATGAGATGGTTTTAAGATATTATTTGAAACAACACGGTTTTAAATGTAAATCATGTATATTTACGTAGATATGCATACGCATGTTTAAGTTTATATATGTATGCTTTTATACTTCTTACTATATTTGTACATCATTTAAGTTTGTCTGAAAGCAAGAGGAAAGCCAGATAGTTTCTCTCTCATGTAAAACTGGAGATGGAAATAGGCAGTCCAAAAATGGTAGAGTGGCTTCACGAAATCCACAGGGCCCAGTCTCCTCTTGCTGCTTCATCACCCTCAGGCCTCTGCTTCCACCTCATGGTCTAGGGTGGCTCCATCAGTACAGGGGGCACCAAGTTCTGGTCATTACATCCAGTCACATTCTAAGAAAAAGGAAGACATAAAAACAAGTGTTCCCTCTCCCTCTAATGACAATTCCTAGAAGTCCCAAATAACATTTCCTTGTCACTCTTGGCTGAAAGACTAGAAAATCCATTTTTATATCTGGAGGCTTTTGTGCCTAACTGAAAATCAAGGTGTTCTTTACCAAATAAAAAGGGGGGAAATGGAATATTGGAAGTCAACCAGCAGTTTTTGCCAGTTTGAAAATCAGGATTTCACAGAATTTTTGAGCGAGAGACTTTAAAATCATTCCATCCAAATCTTTTTCACAGATGAGGAAAATCACTTTCACAGAAGTTAAGTGATTAGTTACGATCATGTAGTAGCAGAACCATGGTGAGAACCCAAATTTCTTGGATTGCAATTTGATATTCTTGATACTCAGCTAACCTATGAAATTAGGAATGGTGGTTTAAGAAAAGGATTCACCTTAAGCTTCTTTAGCTTATTTCCTACATTTAATATATTTTTTATTTCCTGAAGTTGTACTTATATACTACTTTGATTTCTAAAGTTTAACATTTTCCTATGCAAATCTGAGGCTGATAAATAAACTCATCCATTTATCAAAATATCCTGCCCATCTTTAAATGTCTTAAATGGAAAAGATGAAACCATGAAAAAAACAGCTAGAAAATAGGTGCACATGTATCTCCTCTTGAGTTGGGAAAGCCTCAGCATAAAATAAATGATAGCAAAAGATAGATTCAGCTGCATTAACAATGAAAAAAACTTCTGCCAGAATTATCATTAATAACATTAATATGGGCAATGATCATACAGTTCCCAGAGCAGATATATACATGATTATTCACATTAAAAAAGTGTTCAATGTCACCAGAAAACTAAACAAGAAACTTTATTTGGCAAAAATTATAGTCATCCAGTCTTGGAGAAGGTAGAGTATAAACTGGTACAATATTTCTGGAAGGCAATTTGGCCATAACAAAATATGTCCATAGGTTAACTCAGCAGTGGTCAAATGCAGGGATGTGTATGCACAAGGATACTCATTAGTGTTGTATCCAGTGAGAAAATACTGATAGTTTTCTAAATGTACCTTTGCCTTCCTCGGGTAGCCATCTTCTCTCCGAAGGGTGACCATTGCCTCTTTGCCCAGAAATATTGGAAATGCAGGAATGGTAAGCAAATTCCTAAGTGTTCTTAATCAAAAGCAAATTCATTTTCATATAACAAAAACATAAACTTCACTAAAGTCATATTTCATTATTTCTTTAACATCTGAAATTTAAAGGTGCCTGGGATGGAAAATGACCGATTCAGTAGGAGGTCAAGCAGCTGGTAAGTGTAATTTTATGGTTGCTCTTTGGGAACCCTACTGTTTTATAATTGACTGAAGTAAATGTGTGCAATAAGTAATAAAGTAACATTTGATTTGCACAGGGTATATGCACAATAATTATAAAATAGGTGTATAATCATGAAATTTTATTATGAAGTATGTGAGTGTGCCAACAAAAAATAGAACATATAATTTTTGTATTAATTTAGGTAGTAGGAAATAAATTGATAATGGCTACAGATGTATTTAATTTGACAAGAGGCTATAATCATCTTTACTTAGGCGTATTTTGGGATCAAAGCAGAGTGAACACCGTCCCTCATTACATCGATTTATTAGCACCTATTCCTGGGCAGATGCTGAAGAAGAAAAATGTGAACTAAAGTAGGTAAAGCTTGGTGTGTGTGTTAACCTGACGTGAGCTGGGAAATAGTGGCGATCACTTTTATTCCATGGAAATGAGATAATGCTGCATTATTCAAAACAGAATTAAGACTTTTATAAACCATAGTGCATTGCATAAATGTTATTTGCAAATACATTTACTCTTGTAGCACTCAAAACTGTAAGGTTTGAGGTCTTAAGTTAGACACTGAAATTTGCCAGAATTGTGAAGATTATTTTTTTCCTGTATAGGTATCTGGTCATCAGGGAGAAAGGTCAATAAAGAGCCACAGAAGTAAAATGTCCATCTACTTAGATGGAAAAACAAAACAAAACATGAATTATATGTAACATATAGCCACATATGTAATATATGTGCATTGTATATACATCTATCTTCTCTATGTAAATGAACAGTAGGGGAAACAAAACTCTATATTGCTGTGGAAGTGTAGCAATAGGTAGAGGGCAGAGGAGGGACAGGAAGAAATGATGCCTCTAACTCCTGGAGTGACATTGGACCAATTGTTTAACTTTATTTGGTTTCTGTTTCCTCATCTGTAGAGATCTTAATGAAATGATTTTATGTTCATTTTATACATGTTCATACCTGCCTACTATGTGGTAGATACTAAACTCAATCCTAAGGGGTATAATGATGAGTAAGACGTAGTGCCTACCCTCAGGTTTTGTGTTTGTTTTTAAAATAATCCTGGGAGCCTACTGCATGTGCTGAAAACCATTTTCAGATTTAGAGTTAACATAATGGATTTTTCTGATCTGGGTTAAAAAAAACCAAGTTTTCTTCAAAAGATTACAATCTATTTTTTGCTTTTTGTTAGTATGGTATGATTTCTACTGAGACGTCTTAGTGAACAAAAGACTGAAATCTTGAGAATCTTACAAGAATTCAGTATGTTGGGCCTTTTCTTTTTTAAGATTTTATGTATTTATTTTAGAGAGAGCATGCAAGTTGGGGGAGGAGCAGAGGGAGAGGGACACGCAGATTCCCACTGAGCATGGAGCCCAACGTGGGGCTCGATCCCACAACCCCAAGATCATGACCTGAACCAAAATCAAGAGTCCACATTCAACCAACTGCCATGCAGGCGCCCTGGGTCAGGTTTCCTTTAAAAACTAAAACTAGCCACATACATTCCCTATAGATGTCCAAGAAGAAAAAAAAACTTTGAGAAACAGTTGCCTTTGGTAATAGAGCATTATTAGCTTGGAATTTCAAAATTCAAATCCAACTAGGAACTCATCAGTAAACATGATAATGAAACAAATTATGTTCAGGTTAAAGGAAAAACTCTTTAGATAATATGATTTTATTTAAAATATATTTGATCCAATTTATATTCCCCAGCTCATTAAATAAACACTTTTAAAATTAAGATTTTTAAAGAAGAAATGACACTTGATATTACTCCAGTTTAGCATAAAATCCACTGTTAATATATTATGGGGTAGAAGGAGAAAAATTTTACCATATGTTGAATAAAAACAATACAGAGGAAAAAATACTCATCTTTGTTTTTAGTTACTATACACAAGCAGGGAAAGAAATCACAGGTTAATAACACCGGTTAATTATGAGTGGTGATAACTGACGAACTTCTACATGTTCTTTGTAAATTTCTCCTTTTTACTTATCCTTTGGCTAGTATCCCAACTTCCTACAACAAACATTTTTCTAAATATAGCAAGTTTTTAAAATTAAATTCCTATAAATAAAAATTTAGTGATTTGATTTTAGAATTATATAGCAAATCTTTCTAAAGAAAAATACCTGAGAACCTCTTTAGTAAACAATAAAAATTAGCAATATTTTATAAATAATCTGGTATATTATCCATAGTTTCAAATATTTATTTCAAATATTTAAACATAATACTTATTTATAGAACTAAAGATGACTCAGAACCACCTGGAGAAGAAACAGTAGAAAGGACAAGGAAGCCAAGTCTTTCTGAAAAGAGAAATAATCCATCAAAATGGGATGGTTCTTCAATGTAAGTTGTCTGCTTGCTAATGATACCATTTTTGTGGACTGGGGAAAGATGAGGCAGGGTTAACAGGTTAAAGTACTAAAAGACCTGTCAAATTGTTAAATTTAAGATAAAAAAAAACAAACTTCACATGGTCTACGGGAGTTATCCCTGACCCCGTAACAGGTCACACTGATAGGAACTTAGTCCTGGAGCAGAGGGGCCTAGGCAAGTTCATCTTCTTTTGAGTGGCAATTTCTTCATCTAGAAGATAGGGATGACAATAGCAGTACATGTAAAATGCTAAGACTTAGTTGATGTTATAATAAGCTTTTCTTGTATGTCTCATTTCTTAAACTAAAAATAGTTTAAATTTCAATATAGCACAAGTCCAGGGTATGGTGAGAAATAAGTGACATATGTATATACACACATATCATGCTCTACTCAGTAAATAACATTTTTGTTTCTACTACTGTAGGAATTTAAGATGCCTTACCTGATTGAAGGAATGAGATAAATACTCAAATGTTCTTGTTAGGAGTTAAATAATGCCCGAGTCACCTAATTTTCAGATCATCACCATAGCATTTCTTAACTCTAAATCATTTCTTTAATTCTAAAAATTATTGGGGTGGGAGTGGGGCAAATTGTGGCCCAAACCAAGATAGCAGGTCACATTATGTAGCTTATTATAAGGCAATGTTTGTGGTAGGTAGGGCAGATCGATGACTGGTATTGTTGGCAAAAGAAGTGTTTCTAATAACAGATTGTTGCTATTACCAGATTCTGAATTTGTATTTTCCTTATAGTTATGACACAGTAGCTTCATGGGCAACAAATCTCAAGACTTCCTTCAGAAAGGCGAATAAGGCACTCTGGCTTTCTGTTGCATTCATTGTACTGTTTGCAGCTTTGATGAGCTTCCTCACAGGACGATTTTTCCAAAAGTCTGTGGATGCTGCTCCCACACCAGATGGGGACTCCTGGGTGTCTCTAGAACAAATCTTGTGGCCGTTTACCAGACTCCAACACAATGGACCACCACCAGTGTGACTAGAGCACATCTTGATGTGTGTGTCTTGATTTTTAAAGTTTCAGTATCTGAACTTCGTAAATTAGTCATTTTTAGCTGGGAAATTATAGCATTGAACCAGAGGGTCTCAGAAGGACTGTAAGGTATTTTACATTCCCTGTTTCTGCGATTTTCCTCTCTGGCTAAAATACAATGGGGAGGAAGCCTGCCTATAATTTTTAATGAGCTTTTTGAGGAGGAGATATTATATATTGTTTGTTAAAATTTATTGAAATAAAGAACCTCAAGTCTTCCTAGAGTGAAAAGTGGAAGTCTCAGTAGGCCAAATATTCATAGGGGGGAAAAAAACCCACTTTTTAAAAAATAAAATTTGAGTATAAAATGCTTATTAAATTTTAATAACCTCTTGAAATATATTCACTCACTACATTTTATTGAAGAAATACCTGATTTTGCTCCAAGTTGCTTGATTCTACATACTGCATAAAATTTATCAGTGGGGATTAAGAATAGCTGAGTAATCTAGTTGAGAGTAGCATATAGCACACAGAGTCAATAAACTGACAGTTGGAGCTCCTAATTTTTTCCATTGCTTTTTTGGAAGCAAAATCCTTAACCATGTGATATAAAGTAGAATGAAACTCAGTTTCCTCCTGAAGGGCTTCAGAGAATGCCTCACTGTTTTCATTGATCTTGAGCCTTTGCGCTCTGTCACCACTAAACATTAAATTGGTCCAATTAGGTTTCTGAGTAGGTTCTTCAGTAAGGTGTTCCTTCAGCTAAAGAAAAAGAAAATTAGAGAAATCCATTAATAGTTTTTCTTTTAGGTATTTTGGCAGAGTATAATTTGAACTCAGTCCCCAAAATTGCTAATATAAACGAAACATTCTTAAACCATGTTTGTATGGAGCTTATCATTCAACAGAGATTTATTGAGTAGCTACCAGGTGCAGGGACGGTTCGAGGTGCTGGGGATATAACAACAACAAAGAAAAATACATATTAACAGCTGCAACAATAAAATCCTATCCTCAAGTAGCTGATATTCAAGTGGGAGAAACACACAACACACAAGTAAATATGGAGGCTCATGCTAAAACATTCATCAGCTTTTAGAATTTGTTATCTTTTTCATCAGGCAGTAGTAAATGTGCCAAATGCTAAATTGGAGGCCTGTCTCTGAGGAAAAAGTTTGTGAATCATAGATATATTCACATTAAAAGCTTCCATCTGTTCTCATGTTGATGTAAAGAGTTATAAGGACGCTAGCCTGAAGTCAAGAGTGTTTGATACCATAATGGACAATGAAGGCATAACCTTTATATAGTTTGGTTTTATATCTTTGACAAAATAAACAAAAGTGAAGTTTTAAAACTATTTTGGATGTTAATTTTTTTCACCTTTCCAAGAGGAGAAAGCATGGCCTACATTCATTTAGCTTTTGAGTATCTTCTTTTGGAGGACAAAGTAGTTTTATGGGTTTTTGCATACTATACCTTAACTATAACTTTTTTTGAATTACATACTGTATTCCACTTGCTCCAACCAAATGCAAAAGCAGAACTTAACAGGGCCAGTTGTCGATAAGCTTTCATTTCTACTAAAGGATCCTGTCAATATAAAAACAAATAGAGCTGATCATAGAGCCTTTCAACAAGCCTTCCATCTTTGGCCTCCTACAGTCGCTTCTCAACACAGAAAAATCCATTTAAAATGTAAGTCAGATGATATGACAACTCTGTCAGAACAGGGCAATGGTGTTGCCTTTCTCTTCTCAGAAGAGAAGCCAAAGTCCTAACAATGACCTACAAGGGCCTCTCTAATCAGACATTCCCCTCCCCCCAACAGACTTCCCATTATCATCTCCTTTGCTTCTCCTTTTGCTCTCTGAGCTCCACTTGGCTAAATTCCCCACCTTCAAGTTTTGTTCAGATCTTACCTTCTCATTGAATGCCCCCTCCTCCAATACCCTATTTGATACTCTATGTTGCCCTAACCCCATGATTCCTAGCTGCCCTTTTTTTCCCATATAAAATATAAGATTATCTAGTATATTTTTGCCTTCCTCTGCTAGAATGTAAGCTCCACGAGGGCAGGTACCTTTGTTTTATTCACTAATGGATCCTAAGCATCTAAAACAATGCCTAGAATATAAGCATTCAGAAAAAAAAATTCTTGAATATTGAGATGAATAGTACACAACATTCAGCATTTGTAGAGTAACTGGCAATTGAGTTACTAAAACCAATGTGTTTTTTTTCCCTACACATATGTACACACTCTTAGTGATATTATTTTCAGATGTTATATGGCTACCTACATTGTCATTTTCTGGTATATTATAAACGAGTTCTATAGCCAAGAACATCTTTCATGATTAGAGCCTACTTTGGCTTCATTTATATATCATAAATATTTACTAAACATCTGATTCAAGGAATATGCTAGGTGCTAGAAGAATCATAGGTGATGAAAGAACAGTCCTCATCCTCACGGAGCACACAGTTTAACATGGAAGGATCTTATTTAACTAAAGTCTTATGAGTAACATGAAGCAGTATGCAGACAGGGAGCCTCTCTCAAGAAATGGAAGGAAGTGGGTTCTGTATATCAGTGGTCCTTTTATGTGTTTAATTTTGCCTAATTTGTCATGTTTGGGAAACTGCTGAGTCATTTACTCTTTTAAGAAATCTTACATATATCCAGCCTGGAAGAAGAAAGAAAATACACAAAATGCAAAGTTGCTCTAACTACCTTTGCACTACACTGACCAGCTGTGGGTAAGGCTCCATTTGTCAATACGAAGATCATACTACAGGCTTACTTTCTTGGGAAAGATTATTAAACTTGAGAGAACCCTGGATTTCTGGTGTTGCCATTTATTCCTTCCTAACCATAATTCTGTGTAAGTGAATATAGAAAACCTAAAATGTACCTGAAGAGTTACATAACATTCAATACTTGCTAACATTCTAAATGTCCATTACATTAAATTTGGAAAGATTTGTTCTTACCTTATAATTTATAACAACATAAAAATGAGAGTGTCCACTAGGGAAGATATTCAATCCAGCTTCTTTCAAAGCACAAATAAAAGAAATAGGAGTCATCCATTTTCCTTCCAAAATAGAGGAATGCTTTTTGTTATTTAGTTTGATTGATGCTAACATGCAGAGGTTTTCCTAGTTTCAATAAGAAGAAAGATAATTACATCATTATTCCATTTCCAGCCTTTAGGTTCTTCATAAATTTATTTTTTTTTTTTTTTTTTTTTAGCTCATTCTGTATTAAAAAGAATGCAGGATGGATATGTTTTGGGCCAGCTCTGAGAAGTCTCACATAAAGTCTCCCTTGTTATCCCAACCAGTCAGTCGGTCAACCCTTTGGGGGCTTTATCTGAACAAATCAAGGGACTAAAAGCTCTCTCAGGTCTCCACCCATTGTATGAGTTATGATCTAAGAACACTGAATATGGTCACATTGAATTACAAAAGCTATTTGATAGCTATTCATGTTGCAACTTTTAAGGATAATTTTTTTCGACATACAAGGTTTAACATAACAATGCAAAATTATCCAGTTTTAAAGTTCGCAAAGTGGCAATTTGAAAGTGTACAGAGTTCACATCTCTCATCTGGTTTTAAGGAGGAAGCCTCTTTAGAGTGGATCAAAAACTCTCTCGAAGTCACACTGCAGCAGGCTTGTAGCTTCATTAATTGGTTTATTTATTTTTAAATTATTTAAATAATTAGTTATTTCTACTAACTTTAGGGTACAAATTTGCACATCACTTGTTATATGTTATTACCTATCCAATCACTATTTCATTTAGAAATTATGGCTCAAAGTATATTTATAACCGATTTCAATAGGTAAATCACCACTGACTGATTACTTTGACATACTTTTACTGTCATCAAAGCGGTTTACCGCTCTCATGTGACTTACTATAATTGTGACTTACCTTAATTTGTATTTGAATCTCAGTAAATACTGTAGTCACAGTCAAAAGTACTTTATTCACATCAAGTGGTCTTAGTTCCCATGACTGGAACGGCATGTTAATATGAGAATCTTGAATCAAGGTAACAGGGCCAAAAGTTTCTAGGCTGAATGTTATAAGTCTCTCTTCTGATTTGTAAGAGACATTGCTGATGCCATCAGTTTGCCAATGTTTACCTTCATAATAAGGAAGAGAGTAACAGTTTTATTTTTTCTATACAAAAATAAGATGAATGAAACCACCCAAATAACTGCAAAGGTGTATAAATTTATCTTTTACATTTAGAAGAGAATCTCTACAAAAACCACTTTTGCTGGGAGGTTCTTACTGTCTACAGGATCAAATCCAAACTCCTCAGCATGATATATAAGGCCTTCAGAATGAAGACTCATGTCTCTGGCTTCATCCCTTGCACTTCCTACACCTGGTTTTAGCTATGCTTTTTTTCCCCCTCCTCCAACAGCATCATATACCACTGAGCCTCTGCACATGCAGTTCTTTCTTCCTAGATTACTTAATCCTTTAGAGAACCCCTCCTCATCTTGTTTTAAAAAAAAAAAAACTTTAAAATTCACCCATGTTAAGTATATATTTTTAGTAAATTCACCCAGGTGTGCAACCATTACCACAATCCAGTTTAGAACATTATTATTCTCTCCTTAAGATCCCTCATGTCCATTTTATAGTTAATTATTCCCATTCTCACCTCTAGCCACAGGCAACCATTAATATACTTCCTGTCTCTAAAGATTTGTCTTTTCTGGACTTTTCATATAAATACAATCATATGTGGGTGGTCTTTTGTGTCTCTTACAACTTACTAATAAAACACAACACAATTTAAAAATGGGCAGAAGATTTGAGTAAATATTTCACCAAAGAAGATCTAGTAAAGGATAATAAACACACACAAAAAGATGCTCCACATGATCAGTTATTAGGGAATTCAAATTATAACCCCAGGAATACCACTTCATACTCACTAGAAAGGCTAGAATAAAAAAATAATCACAAATGTTGGCAAGGATGTGAAAGGTGGGAAACCTCATATAATGCGGGCATGTAAAATGGTACAGTTACTCTGAAAAACAATTTGACAGTTTCTTAAAAAGTTAAACATAAATTTATCATTCAACCCAGCAATTCCATTCCCAGGTATATACGCAAGAAAAAGGAAAATGTACATCCACACAAACACTTGCATGCCAATGTTCTCTTAGTCTCTCAAGGCCCAGTTCAATATTCCATACTATGACAAGTCTTCCTTAATGCTCCAGGTGGACCCACTGTCCTGCTCCATAGCACTTTTATCTATTATAGCACCTTACTGTATCGTATTATGAGGCTTTTCCCTGTCTGCCTCTCCTACAACTTTGAAAACTCCTAGAGGAAGGAACTATGTCCCATTTACTCTGTATTTCTTATTGTGTAGCATGATTATGGAATACATGAGTCATTCCCTTCCTAGAATGCTCTCTCCATCTCCACGTGGCTTTCTCCTCACATGCAGGGTTCCACTCACTATTTTTAACTCTTAAATTCAATATAACAAATACAATTATATTGATAAACTAAGTCATAATTCCTCTTTTTGTTTTTACATTAACAAAATTACTATAATTTTTTAAAGGTAAAAATTAAATATCACCTATAAATAAACTCTCCAAATTTATAGTATTTCCTGGAAAAAAGTTTCCCCATGGGAAGAATTATTGGAATTGTATATTACTGATCTCTAATTACTGCAGTCAGACAAATTTTACACATTATATTTCCCTGAATCATGTGGGATAACTTATCTTGTCTAATTCTAATTTAATGTGAATAATTTTTAACATAGTAAATATTTAAAAACATTACCATTAAAGGAAAAGTGAAACTCCTAAAGCAACGTGAAGGGAAGAAATTACCTAATTGTTCATTTTGTTGTTTTATAATTTAATGTTTTGATAGACCTATACTGTTATTAATTCATAAGTTATTTTTAGAATATAAATATCTTGTGTCTATGTCTATACAACCAAAAATGTGGATTACTGTAGCTATCATAAAAAAAAAGTTTAAACTATATAACATTTACCCTTCCTGGTAGAGAAATTCCTAAATTCTCTGCTCCTTTGACTACATAAATGGATTAAGTAATAGCTCTGTGCCTTTATGATCTGTTCCCAAGCTGTCACCAAGTAAATTCCTCCATAAATATGAATGTAAAATGCTTCACATTAAAAGTAAAGCTAAACCTTTTTCCTCTAGCAGCCTCAAACCTGCATGCACTAATTTGCCAGACCAAGACTTCTCAGACTTGAGCCAGCCAACCCCAAATGAGGTATTTGTTAATGATTAGTAAATCATTAGCTTGTATTTCTGCTGGTAC